ACTTTTATTCTTCTTCCTCCTCCACACTTTGCATGTCAAAATCCACATCTTTTGTCTATACCTTGACTAATTTTATGTATAGCTTTTACTACTTTTGTTTTTTGAACTTCATGCTTGATTTGTAAGTAATTGATCTACTACCCTTATCTTTATAAGGAATTGGTCTACTAAGTTTATAGTTTCTTAAATATATATGTCTGTACTAAGTTGATGGTCACTCAATTTAAAGTTTCTGCTGAAAAATCTGCTGATAGCCTTATGGAACCTGCCTCTCTTGCTGATTTTAAGATTCTATATCTTTAATCTTTGCAATTTTATTTACTATGTGTACCGGTGTTTTCTTCCTGGAGTTCATCTTATTAGATGCTCTCTGGGCTTCCAGGACCTGGATGTCTATTACCTTCTCCAGACTGGGAAAGTTTTCAGCCATTGAGACTTGGTTCTTCAAAGAGATTTGGTAATCCTTTACCTCTCTTTTCTTCTAGGACCCCTATTATGCAAATAGTGTTTTATTTGGGGCTGTCACACAGCTCTCTTAGCATCTTCTCATTTTAGAAATTCTTTTTCTCTCTGTTCCTCTGCTTGGTTACTCTGCTGTTCTCTACCTTCCATCACAGTGATTCTTTTCTCTACTTACAGCAGCCTGCAATTCATTCCCTCTATTGTATTTTTAATTTCAGTTATGTATTCTTCAGCTCTGAGTGGCTCTTTTTCATATTTTCTGTATGTTGAAGTTCTCGCTGAGATCATGAATTATTTTCCCCAGTTCAGTGAGCATCTTTATGACTGTTACTTCGAATTCTTTATCACAAAAATTGATAAACTCTATTTCATTTAGCCATCATTCTGGTGTTTTATCTTGTTCTATTTGGAACATATTCCTCTGTCTCATTATTTTATTGGGTTTTCTGTGTTTCTTTGTATCAGACAGATCAGCTATGCCTCCTGGTCTCTAAAGTAATGGCTTTATGAAGTGGGTGTCCTGTGGTGCCCAAAAGCTCAAGACACTCTGCTTTCCAAAGTCTGATTCTCTTTTACAGCTAAGCCACAATTGGAGTTGGTGGGCTGTGGGCAATGCCCACCTTTCTGGCTGTCTGTCAACAATGGCTGATCCCCACAGCTACCCTCTGCATACCCTTTGTTTGATGTGAGGCACTTCTGCTGGGATTCACTGCATGTGGGGCCATCCTCTGCCTACTGGTCAGCAATGGTCAAGCATGCCAGCTTGAGTGGGTACAGAGTGGGGCAATGGAGTAGAGCCAGTGAGGTAGGTGGAAAGGTCGAGATTTAAGAGTTGTCTCCTGGAAGGTTTTGGCCAGTTAAGCTGTGGGAGTGCTGGGATAGCCAGGAAAGTATAGTCTGCCCTTAGCCTACAGTCAGAAATATTGGACCACTGCCAGGCTGAGGATGCTGGGAAGGGTGGGTACATGGGAATGCTGCTGCAGGGCTGACATGCCAGCAAGGGAGATGGAGTATTTTTGAGCTGGCTCCCACAGGTGCCCAAACAGTTGGGTTGAGGGTGGCTGGTAAAGTGTCATCTGCCTGCTCTTTCTCCTCCAGAGTTCCAACCCCAGCCCCTCTGGTACACTTTCTGATGCTGGTAAACCTTTCAAACTGCCACCTCTGTGTTGGGTCTCACTAGGACCAACAGAGTGTACTCCTCCTCCACAAGCGCTCCAACTCTCCCTGGCATCCAGCCCCATTCATCACCAAAGCCCAAGACAATGTGGACTTGTATTCCTGGAGCACATCTCCAAGACCAGGTGTGCAAGATTCCTGAGCACTTATCCCCTCCCCACTTTGTTCCTCTCCCTCCCACCTGTGGGCTAGCGTAGGGGTAGGATCTGGGTCCTGATCAATCCAGCTCTTCCCCTTTACCCTTCTCAATGTGGTCTTCTCTTCTTCACCAGGTGTAGATGGTCTCTTCTGCAATCTTCAGGTCATTTTCAGGTTTAGTTGCAGTTGCTTCCCCAGTGCATTCCTACAAGGAGGTTTTCACCTTGCCATCCTACTCTGCCATCTTTTTACCACTCCTCTAGAACTCCTGAATTATATACTTTAAATGAGTGCATTCCATGGACTCCATACATTAATTATATCTCAGTAATAGTTTTTTAAAGAAAATCAAAGTGTGCCCAATCCCAGGCCTAGAAAAAAGAACTTGAATCCATATCTTTCAACATATAAGAATTAACTAAAATTTGATCATAGACATAAATGTAAAATAAATTATAAAACTTCCAGAAATAAACAGAGAAAATCTTTGTGACCTTGAGTGATTCAATTCTCTTTGACACTAAAACCACAATTAATTTTAAAAAGTGATTAATTTTACTTCAAAATATTTAACTCTTCTGGCCTTTGAAAGATACCATAATTAGAATGAAAGGACAAGCTAAAGACTGGGATATAATATTTGTAAATCACACATATGATAAAGGAATTTATCCATAATTTATAAAGAAATCTCAAACTCAATGATAAGCAACCAAATTTTTAAAAAGACCAAAAATCAGAATAGATACTTCATAAACAAGTCATACAAATGGCAAATGAGACCATGAAAGCTGATCAAAATCATTAGTCTTCAGGGAAATGCAAATTAACACTAAAGTGGCAAACTAGTACATACCTACTAGAATGGCTAAAATTTTTTAAAATGCTGACCATATTAAACATTGTTGAGGATATGGAAGAATTAGAACTTTCATACACTGCTAAGAATGTAAAATGGTACAACCAGTTTGGAAAATAATTTTGTACTTTCTTATAATATTAAGCATATACCTACCATATGTTCCAGTCATCCCACTCCTAAGTATCTACCTAAACTTAAAGAATGTATATATCTAAAGATTTGTACATAAATGTTCACAGCAGCCTTATTTGTAGAAGTCCCTAAGATTAGAAACAATCCAAATTGTTATCAACAGGCCAGTGGACCAAAAAATTCTGGTATATTAATAATGAAATACTACTCAGCAATAAAAGGAATGACCTATTTATACAAAATTTATGTGTTAATTATATTGAGTGAAAGAAGCCAGAAACAATCATACACATTTTATCACTCCATTTACATACAACCTAGATAAAAGCAAACTAAACTATAACAGAAAACAAATTAGTGGTTGCCTAGGGAATGAAAAATTGCAAAGGGACATAAGGAAATTTTGGGAGTAATAGACATATTCATTCTCTTCACAATGGTGATGATTTCATGGTGTATGAAACAGATCAAATTTTACACTTTATATGCACTTTACTGTATGTCAATTATACCTCAATAAAGCTATTAAAATATGAAAGTATAAAATGAAAAAAATTAAATAAAAAGTTGACTATATATTACCATTTACATGTCAGGGAAAACCAAACTGAAGCTAAAAATGAAGCTTCCCTTCCTTGCTATCAGTAGCAGAGAGTTTTGAAAATGGGAATTGATGATGGGTCCCTCCCTGCTATCCCTATGGTGAGCATGTGTGGGGCACTAACCCTGCCCTAGAACAAGCTGGAGAGAGAAGACTCTTAAGAGCATGTAAAGTAGAATAGCTTTCATAAAACCCTCCTAATTTTCCTCTTTCCCTACTGTATCAAGCAGATGCTTGATGTCTATTGGACTGTCTTTACTTCTACGTGAAAGAATAGAAATATTCAAGTTAGAGGGTGGGTTCTAGAGTTAGAGCATGTGGGTTCATAGCTTGGCTCTACTGTTTACTAAAGGTGTGTCCTTGGCTGAGTCCATAACCTCTCTATGCCTGACATCACATCTTGAAAACTTAATTCTTAAACATTTTAATGCTAGTTTTCTTTTTTGTACTCTTAATCACTTAGTGAGGAAACAGAAAACTTAGGAACGCTTTTCTCTAGTGATTATTACATTATATACATCTTTGTATAGTGACAAATGGTAACTCATTGTGGTGAGCATTTCATAATGTCCTAACTATTAAATCACTATGTTGTACACCTGAAACCAACATAATACTGTATATCAACTATACTCCAATAAAATAAAGAAGAAATATACTGAAAATCCCCCAAAGTTTTAAAACATCATGTCAAGCATAGAGAACAGGTTATTAGAAGACAGCACTTAGTTTCCAAATTCCAAATCAATAATTCAATGATTCTCTCTATATAAATTATATTTATTCACTTGAGGAAATAAGTTAAAGTGGAATCTGTAGAGTAGATTATTATGACAATGTTGAAAAGTTTAACAAACACAATCCAATATATAAGTGTATCAAATCAAAACACTGCATACCTTAAACTTACACAAAGTTATATGTCAGTTATATCTCAAAAATAAATTTTTAAAAATAAAAAGGAAAAGAAATACAACTAGATTGTAATTTAGCAATTACAATGTTATACACAATGTCCTCTCAAGTCAAGCATGCTGATGTTAGGCTTATGTTTTCAAAAAAGGCAATACTGATTATTCATTTTCATTATACATTTACAATACTGCTTTGTTAATTTTATAGTACTGCAATTAATAAATGAAATATAGGCCAATTCCTAAACATATCAAAGTTCGTCCAGTGAGATATTATTGTAATTTGTTATTAAGATTTCTAATTTGACATTTTAAATAAAGTTTAAAATGCTATGCACACTGAACACAAATCTTCCAATCAGTCTGTCCATGGATTTACAAAGGAGTCCAAATGTCACCCAGCAGAAAAAATGAGAGTAGCAATGATATCACAACCAAATTGTAATCCGGCCACTAAGTTATGTTTATTCAATGATGTGTATGATTAGCAAATTTTTCTGCATATGTAGTTGTTTTATAAATGATTTTGCAAGCAGCCTAAAAATATTCATTACACAGTTGCTACAGCTAAAGCTGGAACTCGGTAGAAAGTACCAAGGGAAGGTATTAATTTTCATGGTCAGAAAGCATTATTCATTCTTATTGTTAAGAACTCCAATAAGCATGTAATAAATTAATATTTAAGTGATCATTTTGTTAGAAAAATAACAATTACCTGTGAGACACCCAACTTTTTACAAGCATCAAGAAAATTTTCTACATTTCTTCGACATTTTGCCATGCTCAATTTAGGCTGTAAGTAAGGGGAAATAAGGTATTATTTCCAGGCTCATTTATATAGAAATTAATCAAAACTGAAAACTGAATTCATTGAGGTATACTATTTTAAAGACAGTTTCAAGAAGTTCTATCTTCCTTTAGAGAACCAAAAAATTGTAGATATAACTTACCATTGCTGGTGATGGCACATGAATACTAGCTACAGAACGTGGCCTTATATGATTGGCTAAATGGCAAAGAACAACCCCATCCATCAGCGCAGCTCCAATGTCATCAGGCAAAATTACTTTTAACCTGGATTCGAGATTCTAGAAGGAAATGGGTATAAATCACAGATATTCTACCTAAATATACATGACACATATTTATATTACTAATTATATAATCCAAAATTTTAAAGAGCACTGAAAATAAAATCCATATACTTTGTTGATTTTCCAAGTTAAACCCATTTCTACAAATCAGATCTGAAAGGTTAATCTTACTTACATTGCGCAGTTGTCGTATTTGCTCTCGTTCTTCCCGTAGATGTTCCATCTTTCTTCTCATTGTAAATCCTGGATCTGCTGCCCCATACTCCTGGCGAGACGAGCGGCTAAAAGCTATAAAAATAGAGATTTCCTAGCTTATTACAAAGCTAACAGGAAGGATCAACCATCAGAGGGGAAAGAGGCACAATGAAAAGAATCAGTACAAAACTACATAAAACATTATTACTTATTCATACATTCTAAATACTTTTTACAGAATATAATTGAAATCTACTTATCTGGATAAATGAAAGCAACAGGTAAGACAAGTCTAACTATTTCTACCACCTACACATGTTCTTATTTAAATATTTGTTATTAGAAACTTATGATCCAGGTTAAAAATTATTATTGAACATAAATCAGTCTATTATCTTTAAAGAAAAAGGAAATTATTCTTGAAGGTCAATATAGTTATTCAGGAATAAAAACTATAATTCAATACCTTGCCAAGTAACATGGATCCATTTTCTTTTGGGCTTGCCAAATGCGAAAAGATCCCTTTTTAAAACCACAATATAATGAAGTGCTATAATTTCAAACAGTGTTTGGTCTGCTGGCAGAGTGGTCATTCTAATAGCAGTCACAGTAGAGTAGAAATAAGACTGCAGTATATCTAAGGCAAAAAGCTGAGGTTTCAGGAGCTTGAAGGTAAAGAGGAAGAAAGAAATGGGGAGTGGGAATTGGAAAGACAAATAAGGTTAAGAGAAAATTGCTTTTAGGAGAGAGGAAAGAATGTATGGGTACTTAAACTATGGAAATCAATCCCATTTAAGCTGGGAAACTTTAGTTTCATATGTAATCAATGTATTATTAGCAAAATATATATTTACCTGATCTAGGCTTCAAGCCAAAGGGACCATGTGAAAAACCATCAGTTCTATCACATTCCTAAGAACAGAAAACAAACAAAATCCCTTTTCTTTCAAAATAGGTAGTTATTCATATACACGCCAATTTTAGAAGTATTTATTTTTTCCATGATTAGTGGAGTAGAGAAAGGTAAATTACATTTCAATTTAAATTAATGACATTTCACTTTTAAAAGGTTTATAAATATTTGCTAATTAACCAGTTATATAAGCCTTTAAATCCTTCTTTCATAGTATAAGGAAAATGAAAAAGAAAGTTAGTGACGTGTATAAAATCATTTTTGAATGAAGAACCAGCTTATCTCCCTAAAAACAAAGTAAACATCAATGAAAAGATAAGTAAAATTGGCCATATTTACTCAGTATCTACTGTGGACTTGACACTAAGTGGATGATCTGAGGCAAATCTACACATTCATACTAATAGAGGCTGATATCTAATACTAACAGATGATAAATTATCATCTCTTCTATTCAAATTACATTGTTTCAAAGTGCTTTCACATAATGCTGTGATGTGGAAAGAATTATGGTATATTTTAAAAGACGAATTGGGGAGTCAGAAAATTTAGGCTTATTCTTGACCAAAACATTTCATTTCTCTGTGTTTCATCATTAAAATGGGGTACTGTCAAGAATAACTCGGATAACTAAAAGAAAGCACTTTGTAACCTGTAAAGTAAGGTAACACAATTTTAACAGTATCTTATTTAATCTCTGCAAGAATGTGAATGAAGTAGCTAGAGTCTGGGCTTCAGTCATTTCTCTACCATTTATTGACTAGAGTCTTTCGGAAAAGTTAGCAGTCCCTTCACATGTAAAATGATGAGGATAATACTGAGCTCACAGGACTGCTCTTTGGTTTAAATGTACAGGCAAGCAATTTGTTAATGATATAATATTATACTGATTGTTTTTACCATTTTTCTTTCACAGATGGAATTAAAGCAATCAGACTTCTGTAGATTCTCAAAACCTTCTACTGATTAACATGTTAATGCAGCTGAAGTTGAATGTTAGTTGAGCTACCAAAACATATGCTCACCACCGTACCTGTCCACAAGTCTCAATTTATCATTATTTCAGTTAAAGTGTTATGAATTTCCAGACAAAACTTTCACTAATTGAAATGCAAGCAAAAATGTATTATAAAAGCAATATAATTTATTTGAGAAGCTGGCACTAATACTCTCCCCATGAACATAGCTCATAAAATCATAAAGCAACTAGGCAGACAAGTAGTCACTTATATGCTTACATTTGTTATAACTGAAAGTAAAAGAAAGGATTTACAAAAGCATGTGACTAGACTAATTTTAGGATATCCTGACTTAAGTCAATTTGTAGAACGCAAACCATTTTACCATTAATTTAGAAGCATGTCACAAAACTACTGTCCAAGTCCACTTAAAAGGGTTATAATGCAACTCACCCAAAATAATAGACAAACCTGGCTTCTTTAATGAAATTAATATCACCAATATAAAATGAAATATTACCTTATTAATCAAATTCATACAGTGAATTTGGATCATCCAAACATTCAAAGTCCTGAATTCACCAAATGAATGAATGATTTATTTACTAATGCAAATATGCTTTTATAATACTAAATAAGGTAATCTGCAGAAGAGATACTGTTTAGAATTTTTTAAATGTATTTCTTGTTGCAAAGTAATAGGTTTAAGTAAATTAGAAAAATCAGTCATTCAAACCACCACAGTATTTGGTTGAGATCTTACAAACTTACTTTCACCTACTCTTTCTCCCTATGTTCTCTCCTTCCCCAACTCCAGGTCTAAGATGCTGGGAAATCTGTACCCTCCTGTCGATAGGAACAACCCACTACAGGGATGTTTCTCGTGGAAAAAGGAACGTTCTCTTGCATTGCTTTAAGACCTAACTGGTTACAAGGAAAACCAAAGGTCACTGCACAATGCTGAAGTACTTTTTCCAAATTTAAAATTTAAATTTGCTAAAATTTAAAACTGCTCTTACCATTTATTTCTAAGTATGTATGAATTGCAAAATAAAAATTTCATAAAGTGAATTCTGTAACCTATAGGCATTTACCAATAAGTAATTTAAATAATATTTATTTATGAATATTTATATAAAAAGATGGTGTTCTCAGAATATTTTATAGGTAGGTGTGTACAAATTATTCTACTGGGGATTTCAAAATATGGATGAATAAATTACATTGAGGAAAAAGATGAGGTTAGAGAGAAAAGACAAGGAAGAAACTTATGTAAACACATATAAAAACAGAACTTGTACCTCAGATGATACTGGAGATTGTGGTGACATATTAGCATTATCACTGTCTTGCTAAAATATAAAAATAACAAGATGAAAGATGAAATTAAAATACAAATGATGATTTAGACATATAAAAGGAAAACTGAAAATTGATTTGCTCAACTGCTAAATGAAGAATCTGGAAAATACCACCTACCACCTTGCCATTCAAAGTGTGGTCTGTGAACCAGCAATATCAGCAACTTCTGGAAGCTTGTTAGAAATGCAGAATCTCAGGCCCCACCCAAGACCTACTGAATAAGAATCTGTATTTCAATAGGATCCCCAGATGATTCATAAGCACTTTAAAGTTTTAGAAGTACTATATACTCATATCAAATATTCTCCTATAAGTTTATTTCCTTTAAATATCACAAATGAAAAAACCTTTTCATGATCCATGTGTTAAGAATAATTCCTGATGGAAATTGGCAACAATATGTTACAATCTGAGACAAGTAAATGGAAGCATGAAAAAATTCCATCACCCCAAGTAAGAACTGTTACCTGGAAAATCATGTGTATCTAATATAAGCTTAGAAATAATTACACAGAATTTATTTGCATAAAACAATAGTAAATAGCCCATGTCTTTGAATGACTACTACCAAGCAAGTATGAAAATCTTAACATATAATCTTGAATATGCATACCACACAGGACATTTATTCATCACTCAACAAATAATTATTAATGACCTACTATATGCCAGACACTGTGCTATACACTGGGTATATTGAAAATTAGTAAAATGTTCACTCAAGGATCTCTCAGTCTATGGCGAAAATAGACTCATTTATACAGGTGCTACAACCTTCTCAGTACAATACAGTAACAGAGCTATGCACAGCATATTATGAAGCATAGATAAGGGGCACTTGGGGAAAGGTGGGGGTGTGAAAAAGACAACTTCTCTAAGTAAAAACTGAGCAGGTGTTTACTAGAAAGGAAGGGAACAGCACTCCAAGATGAGAGGACAGCAAGGACAAAGGCAGAGAAGAAATAAATGAAAGGATGTGTGTAGAAAACCTGTGAGCAGTTCAGTACTGCTGGATAGTATGGTCAAGCCACGGCAAATTGGTGAGTTGAGGCTAATGTGGTGAGCAGAGGCTTGATCAGGACCTAGAATTTACCTTCTAAGTGATGGGGAGACATTGAAGGTTTGTAAGCAAGGAAATGGCTTGATCATATCTATGTAGTTTCAAACAATCATTGTATCTGCAGAGAGGAGAATGGACTGGAGAAAGAGTTTAAAGAGCAAGGATGCTATTGTAACAGTACAAGCAAGAAATGGTAAGGGCCTCTACCAGGGCAGAAATAGCAGAAATGTAGGTGGGGAATGTATTACAAATATTTCAGTACCATAAGAAAAAGTAGGTCTTAGTAACTGATTAGATATTGAGGCAAGTAGAGCCAAAGCAGGTACAGAACATTAAGGGACAGGGAGTGCAGCCAAGCTGAATCTATAGCTCAGAGTTCAGCAAACATTTCTTGTGTGATTCTATTTCATATTATTAAAGGAGTTTTTAGAAGCCCTACCAAGTACCCAATCTCAGATTAACTTCCACTCTCTCCAAACAAAAATACACAAAGCTTAAGTATTTATGATGATGAGATTGTGTCATTTCAAAAATGCCAGGCTGCTGCACAGCTTGTAACAGTGAGGTAGAAAACTTCATGGTAATGCACCAACTATAGAAACTTAATCTTAAATGTTGAAATAGTACACAGAATTTAGAAAGAGATTGTTTCCAAAAAAAAATATCACCTGACTACCAGGTTGATTAGGAAGATAAAAGATGAGAAAATTTTAATTCATGAAGTATAGTTTCAAAATTAGTGCTGATAAAATTCTAAAACAAATTCTAAATAAAGGACATATGGAAATTACATGATTAAATTAGTAACTGCAAGATGATACTCAGTTTTTATTACTGGAGAAAACTAATGCATTATATCAACAATAAAGAAACTAAAAGATTGCATTTTTCTGAGTCAACTACATATGAAATTTAAATATTTTAAATAATTTTTAATATTACTTTTGTCTCACCTCATCATTTTCATTGCCACTTGAACTCTTCCTTGATGATTTATACTGAAAAATATTTAAAACACACTTTACTTTTTCTTGAACATATGAATTCTTTACTAGTAAATTACATGTGAAGTTCATTCATATTTTGGTATTTTTATTAAATTGTCTAATACTAAGTTTAATCACATAACCAGTTTAAATAGTATACTACTTACTAATAGTTAACACATACAGTGCTGTCTACATGTAAGGTACTGTTCTACATACATATATCAACATTTCCTTTCTAAACCACTCTATTTCCATTTATTCAGGTTTGCTGAGAGTTAAGTCTCCTCTTTCTTAACTCACACTACAGCCAAATCTCTCTCAGACTTACTTCTGAATTCTCACATTACCACCCTATCCTAGGCCCCCATTATTTCACAACTAATCTGCAATCTCAGCATTCAAGAATGCTGTTTGTCAGCAAACCTACCAATTTCAGGTAAAAAACAAAACAAAACAAAAACAAGACCACTATATTGAGTGTACACACTGACTGTAGAATAACAGCAATAGTGATAAAGAGCTAACACACTACTGCTTACTATATGCCAGGCACTGATGGAAGTGTTACATGTATTAACTCATTTAATCTTTATTAACAACCCTGAAGTAAATACTATCATCCCCACTTTATACTGATGTACAGAGGAAATATGCTTAAAATAAAAAATGCTAGTATGTGAAAAAATGCTTGTTTTTAGAATCAAAAATCAAGGAAGAACAGTATGACAACCACTACAGTTCTTACTTCAGATTCCTCCTCACCATAAACAATCCTGCAATCACTGGCAGGTTAATCTTACAACACTACTTACAATTCATGACTCTCCTGTTGGAAAACCTACTTTCAGAATATGTCCAAATTTCTTTGCTTGGCATTCGAGGTTCTATTCAATGGTCCCCTTTATTTATGCAGCTTTATCTTCTATAACTCTTGGAAGAATAGATAACCAACCTGATAGCTCAACCACAATGGGGGTAAGCAGTATTCGTGAATACAAATAGAAGGATTAACTTCCTCTACTGTACCTCCTGTGACTTATGACAATTACCACTTACCTACCAAAGTGACCTTACCAAGTGACCCTAAATACAGCCTCAATATGCTTTCAACTCAATGTTCCAGATAGCCACTGAACAGAGTTGGCAATGTGTGAATAAACTTATTTGCCATTCTATACCTGATGGTCGCTGAAAGCACTATTCTTGGTTTTATTCTACTTCAACAAAAGAATGACATTTGGAAAGTGGACACCAGGAACCCAAGATGGTGTCAGTCATACCAGGAGAGGAGAAGGAACTCATGGACGTCAAAAATAGGAGAGCTGCCAAGTTGGAAACTGCTGTAAGATTTCACCCCTCAAGGCACTGTTGGAGTGATTCAAAGAGGATCCTACCAGTATTACAAGAATGTCAGTGTGAAGAAAGGGAGCACCACTGGTGTTTCTATGCTTCTGGCAGCTTAAGTGCTTTTCAACTACTTCCTTTCTTACAAGGAATTCAAACATGAGCAGCTACAGAAGTACTACTGAAGAGGGCTCAGTGTGGAGTGTTGGAGGCCCAGCCTGCATTCCTAACCATGACCTTCTTTGCCTGGCACCCCTGATCTTTGATGAATCATTTTATATCTTAACTGAGAATTAACACCTGATAAAATACGACTGGTACAAAACAAAACAAAACAATGACATATGGATGAATAATAAACTGATATTTATTAAGTATATATTCTGTGGTAACTGCTGTTCTAAGTACTTTATTATTAAGTAACACAACAACAGTAATAACAACCCTGTGAAGGAAGATACTATTAGAGTCGTTTGAAGATTAAAAACAAAAACTTAAAGCCCAGCAAGATTACGTAATTTGCCAAAGTCACATAGATAGTAGATACCCAAACAAAGAACGAAAGTGGTTTAATTCTAGAAGCCAAGGCTCTTAACCACTATGCTATACCCCATCTCTACATCTTGAATGATTAGTGGAAATTTGTCAGGCATAAAAAGGACTAGTGGACATTTCTCAGAAGGAAAACATGAAGGAGAAAAAAAGTCAGTTTATGCAGAAAATGAATGGTAGTAGTATGGCTAGTGAGGAGAGTGAATTGTAGCAGGTAATAAAACTTAGAGAAGTAGGTAAGAACGGCCCGTGAACTTTTTTTAAAATCCAAACTTTATGTTACTGATAATGGGGAGACAATGAAAAAATTTAAGCCAGGGATTTGTTAAAGATTGTGAAACTAGAGAAAGGGGGAACATTAAAAGTAATTACCATTAGCCAAGACAATGAGGACTCTAACAAAAGCAAGGGCAGTAGAGATGAAGAAAGGGATCAACTGGAGAAAGGGTATGTAATGGACATCCTGGTGACCAATTCGGTGAGAGGGAAAGATCAAGCATTACTGAGTTACGGAGCTTAAACAACTGGGTAGATACTGGTACTGTTAACTAAAATAAAGAATGGAGAGAGGAACAACTTCCATGGGAGCCAGGAAGAGACATACTGAATTTGAAATATGTAGGGCATCCAGACAACTAGAAACACAGGACTGCAGACCAGAAAAAAAGTTATGGGATGAACTTTAGATGCAGTCAAATATAAGAGACATCTGGAGTCATAAAAGCTTCAGAGTTTTTAGAGTAATAAAAAGGGTATGAGACCCTAAAAGCAAGCAGACAAGTCAGAAAAAAGTTAGACAAAAACATCAAAAAAGAAAACAAAACAGATGAATCAGGGAAGAAAAACTGAGGTAGAAACCAAGAAAGCAGTTTCAAGAAGAGAGATGCAGTCGTCACTGTGAAATACTACATGGGATTTTGCCATTAGCAGGTACATTTTAAGATCTACTGAGGGGATATTTCAATGGAGAAATGAAGTGAAAGCCAGACTACAGTGGATTAAAGAGTGATCAAAAACTGCAGATCTCAAAACGGCTAGTTTCGTCCTAAAAGAAAGCAAAGAGATAAGGCAAGAATTGAAAAAATAACCAGAGATAATGACTGAGTTGTGACATATTTATAAGACAGAAGTAAAGAGACAATAAATACATAGACGAATGAGTGGATAATTGAAAAAGGAAACAAAAAGGATATGAAGTCAAGAACAAAGATAATGACTTGTTTTAACTACAATACTTCATATAAATAAGAATTGAAAATATTCATCTTACATGAAAATTAAGAAAGGTATTTAGTTTGCATTACTCAGATAGTATTTATTTGTTTATTTTGGTATCATTAATACAGTTACATGAGCAACATTGTGGTTACTTGATATCCCCCATCATCAAGTCCCCACCACATACCCCATTACAATCACAGTCCCTCAGAGTAGGAAGACACTATAGAGTCACTACTTGTTTTCTCTGTGCTATACTGCCTTCCCAGTGCCCCATCACTACATTATGTGTGCTACTGGTAATACCCCTTGTTCCCCTTGTCCCTCCCTCCCCATCCTTCCTCCCCAGTCACTTTCCCTTTCTTAACTGTTAGTCCATTCTTGGGTTCTGTGAGTCAGCTGTTGTTTGGTTTGTTCAGTTTTTGCTTTATTCTTCTGATGACAGATGAGTGAAATTATTTGGTACTTGTCTTTCTCTGCCTGGATTATTTCACTGAGCATAGTATAGTCTAACTCCATCCATGTTGTTGCAAATGGTAGGATTTATTTTTTTCTTATGGCTGAATAACATTCCATTGTGTAGATGTACCACCTCTTCTTTCTCCATTCATCTACTGATGGACACTTAGGTTGCTTCCATTTCTCGGCTATTGTAATTAGTGCTGCGATAAACATAAGGGATTATGTATGTCTTTTCAAAACGGAGCTCCTACATTCTTATGGTAAATTCTGAGGAGTAGAATTCCTGGGTCAAATGGGATTTCTATTTTGAGTTTTTTGAGGAACCTTCATACTGCTTTCCTAGTTGAAATAGTTTATATTCCCACCAGCACTGTAGGAGGGTTCCCCTTTCTGGCTATCCTAACTGGTGTGAGGTGAAATCTCATTGTGGTTTTAATTTGCATTTCTCTGATGATTAGCAAAGTGGGGCATCTTTTCATGTGCCTGTTGGCCATCTGAATTTCTTCTTTGGAGAAGTGTCTGTTCAGATTCTCTACCCATTTTTTAATTGGATCATTGGCTTTATATTTGTTGAGGTTCATGATCTCTTTGCATGTTTTGGATGTCAACCCCTTATCAGATATGTCATTTATGAATATATTCTCCCATACTGTAGGATGCCCTTTTGTTCTACTGATGGTATCCTTTGCTGTACAGAAGTTTTTAGTTTCATATAGTCCCACTTTTTCATTTTTGCTTTTCTTTCCCATGCCCAGGGACATATGATCATGAAGAAGTTGCTCATGTTCATATTCAAGAGAGTTTTGCCTATGTTTTCTTCTGAGAGTTTTATGGTTTCATGACTTACACTCAGGTCTTTGATCCATTTTGAGTTTACTTTTGTGTATGGGGTTAGACAGTGATCCAGTTTCATTCTCTTACATGTAGCCGTCCAGTTTTGCCAACACCAGCCGTTGAAGAGGCTGTGATTCCCCATTGTACATCCATGGCTCCTTTATCTTATATTAATTGACCATATACTTTGGTTAATATCTGGACTCTCTATTGAATTCCACTGGTCTATGGGTCTGTTCTTGTGCCAGTACCAAATTGTCTTGATTACTGTGGCTTTGTAGTAGAGCTTGAAGTTGGGGAGCGAGATCCCCCCTGCTTTATTCTTCCTTCTCAGGATTGCTTTGGCTATTCAGGGTCTTTTCTGGTTCCATATGAATTTTAGAACTATTTGTTCCAGTTCGTTGAAGAATGCTGTCAGTATTTTGATATGGATTACATTGAAATTGTAGATTGCTTTAGGCAGGATGGCCATTTTGACAATATTAATTCTTCCTAGCCAGGAGCATGGGATGAGTTTCCATTTGTTAGCGACCTCTTTAATTTCTCTTAAGAGTGTCTTGTAGTTTTCAGGGTATAGGTCTTTCACTTCCTTGGCTAGG